AGTATGGCAAAGGAAAATGTTAATTCTGAATCAACAAAATGGGAATAACATCTAAATAAAATGTCAGATAATATGAAAGTTGTGATTAATACGCATCATTGTCATTATCTAAAAATATCTATGTAGTGCTTTAATTATATCTGTGGCTTTTAGATAACTTTAAATGTTGTCGAGATAGCAAATTTACTACTTCGCGCAATACCATGTTTGATTTCACGTCGTGTCACTTTTTTCTGAGAAATTTATTTTTTAATACACTAAAACTCTAGAGACTAATACCTATCAAGGAATTGTTCGACATTTTATTTACCTTCAGCGGCCTTTTATGCAAATTTATGACTGCGTAAAAACATGTTTGATTTCACGTCATGTCACTTTTGTCTGAGAAATGTTTTTCTCTGCCTTGCAAACAGAATCAATACTTTGCGATACAAATTTTGTTGAACTGTTCGAAATTTTATTTATCTTCCGATGGCCGTATGCCATTTTGATGATTTTGAGTAAAACCATGTTTAATTTCACGTCATGTCACTTTCGTCTGAGGAATGAATTTCTCTCTGCCTCATAAATAGAATCAATACCTTTCAATACAAATATTGTGCCCTGTTCAAAGTAGATAACTTTATCAATTAGTTAAATGAATTTACTTTGCCATTTGTCATTTTTTCTTATATGATAAGTGAGCTAGGTGATACAGTGTGCATCTTTCAGTTCAGAAAAGAAACAGAATTCCTCGAAATTTTTAAAGTATATCTTGTATCTTTCTAAGATGCCTTTGGTTCAAGGGATCTTACATTAATATAGTGATCTCCCCAGCATTAAAGCAAGTGGACGCAGCACCCACCTGAGATTTTGAAAATAGGCTTGCACCCACTTAAATCCATTTGCACCGACTTGAAAATTAGAAAATCATGAAAAATTGGCATATACAAGCAGCAAACGTTCGTCCATGTGTCCGGGAAATTACTCAAATACCAGTCGACGGATTTGATTCAAATTTTATAGGTTTATGCCTTATGGGAGTAGGACCTCTGCTTTAGAATGAATTTTCAATATGGCCTCTCAATTCAAAATGGCCACTGGCATCATTTTTTCATAAAAAGTGTAATCTTCGATAACTCAAATTCTAGTCAACGGAATCGTTTCAAATTTTATATGCTGATACCTATAGACAAAGGAGTTTTGCTCAAGAAGAGATTTTCAAGATGGCCCCTGATTTTCAAAATCCACCATTTTTTGTAAAAAAACGTAATCTTTGAGAACTCAAATACCAATAAACGATTTGAGTCAAATTTTGTATGTTGATGTTCAAGAAAGAATTTTCAAGATGGCGGCTGAATTTCAAAATGGCCACCATTTTTCATTAAAAATGTTATCTTCATTTACTCAATACTAGTGAAATTTCAAAATTGCTTCTGTTCTTTGTAAAAAAATCTAATCGTTGATAACTCAAATACCATTAGATTGATTTGCTGTTTTGTAGTTGAGTTAATGAAACTGTGTCTGTAAAAGATCAACCTATCCTATGAGCGAATTAACATTAATGCCCTGTTACATCATACAGATGTCACCCACACATCTGTCAGTTCGATTACGCATGATTTTCATCCTTAACAGGTTCTTGACTCTCTGGGGACAAGCTCAGTATATTGGAATACTCCCACATATAAATTCGTACATAAATTGGTAAAATGGAATATTATAAAAAGCCTTCGACCTGCGACTAAATGGTTGTCCTAAAATCAGGATTATTTAAGAAAAAGTTTTATATTGGGAAATGACACAAAAAAATATAAAAAAGAGACTTTCCATTTTATGGTTTATGACTGATTTCTCAGGTCATATCATCATCGCAGATTGGTTGGAAAACATTAATCAATATGAAACAATCAGAATTAAAAGGATAATTCTCTGTTGGGTTCTCTACTCCACCATTGCCATAAAGTCACCACCAGAAGTGGCGACAAATTGCTATAGTCTCCAACTTTATTGTGGCTGGTGTTCAGTGTTCAGTTTTCAATGTTTGTATCAGTGTTAGAGGGTTCATGCCTGTAACAAATGACAGGTGGTGACATTTTGCATGGTTATGTCTTGTATTGGTTTATGACTGATGTCAATCATATCATATCATCTCCAACTTTTTTATGGTCAGTGTTCAGTGTTCCTCATCTGTAACAAATGGCAGGTGATGATATTTTGCCTGTGAATGCCTTGTTTGAAATATGCATCCACCTCAAATGTAGTTTTTCTAAGAATTCATAATTCCTATCAGTTATTAGCATTGAAACCTGAGCAAGCTGTAAAGATTAAAGGTTGATTATATGATCATTCAGCTGACATTTGTCTTAATGTATCTGACTACAATAAACATTTACATTAGTTTTGTTAAACCCTCGTCATAGTCATCTTATCAATCATGTCGAATCCATAGTTTTCTCTCTAAAATATGAATGAGCTGTTCGTTTTTCTGAAATTTCTATACAATTTAGAGTGTTAACTACATGCCTGTATACTTTATTCCTTGCTGATTCCACTCTTTTCCACTCTTTTTCCAGTTTAAATCATCACGATCATGACATTTCTTATAGGTCAACATTTACATTAAGTCAGCACGATGTTTATTCATGATGATTTGTGGCGCATGCTGCTATTATCTTCACCATTGCATGCTTCAGCTGTTTAGCCATAAAAGATTTTTGTGGCCATTGCGATGCTGAAATGAAAAATGGAGTGAAAAGGAGTGAAATTAGCATGGAATGAAGCAAGTACACATAAAATTAACACACTGAATTGAATCAAATTTCATCAAGATCATGTTTTCAAATGCAAAATAAAGTCAAAATCAGTGGAGTTAGCAAGGAATTAAGTAAACAGGCATGTAGTTAACATTCTAAATTATACAGAAATGCGGTGGTCGTGATTTAAAATGCAAAATAGAGTGGAAAACAATGGAATTAGCAAGGAATAAAGTATACATGCATGAAGTTAGGATTCTAAATTGTACAGAAATGTGAGAAAATCAGACAGGGTGGACATGTTTTGAAATGCAAAAAGAGTGTAAAACGGTAGAATAAGCAAGTAATAAAGCATATAAACATGTAGCCAAAACTCTAAATTGTATGGAAATGAAATTGAAAGAAAGAAAAAAATTTTATTGAAATATTTGGGAAAAGTAAGGGCAGGCGTGAAGTCAACACTCAAAATTAAATAAAATTTCCAGATTATCAGATAGCTCATCCAAAGCGCCTGGTAGGATTGCAGACTTTTTAAGAAAACATATTATATAAAATGTATAAAGTGATTCATTAATAAATTTTAAATTTGTAGGGACCTCTCTTAATCTGCAACTCTAGAATTGATACAAGCATTTAAGTCATACTTAGAAAATTAAGCCACATTGTTCATCTTAAAATCATGTATTATTATGCACTGTCCCTTGTTTTCCAGACACTCAAATCAGTAATGTCTGTTTTATGGGCATAGACCTGATTGTTTTATTTAATACATATACATTGATCAACTCATCATCCTTAGAGCTTTAAAATGACTTGTATCAATTCATTCAAGCAGCTGTTTGAATTGAATAAGTTATCCGCTTAGCATTCATTTTGTATAATATAAAGATAAATCAAGATTAACTAACACTAGTCAATGTCACTTGTGTTGTAATAAGCAAATATTTCATTCTGTGGAGGACAATTCCCATTCATCTTTCAATGAGTTTTTCAGATTGCATAATACAATTTTGTCAATCTGAAATGTTTCAGGGGAATTACATTTCACTTTTTGAAAAAATATCGAAATGTTCAATTAAGATTAATACTTTATACAGATTTAATACTGTAAAGTCTGTCTAATCCAAACACCATAGTAGGATTGGCTAAAAGCGTTCAGATTAGGAAGTTTTAACATTTCAAGGTTTTTGCATTCTTGATATTCTGAGGAAATGTGACCTTGCAATAAACATTTATAATTCTATTGACTGCATAGCATTTAATGGCATTCTAATAATTTGAAAATCTGATTCAAATGAATTTATGTTATGTCAGAAAGACACATTATGACTGAGACCATTCAATAATTTTTCCAAAAATATATAAAGATACAAATGCACCTCAATACCAACTCGCATCTTGGTGATTGACACTTGAATCTTATATCACATTATATTGATTTGTTTACCACATCATTCATCATACGTCATTACATTTATTATTACATTTATGTCATGCTTGACTGGATTCTCGAATTTATGAGTGACGTTAAATTACAAATGATTGACTGTCTTTGTTTGGTCATAAAATAGTGATATAAACCTAAGTAGATGAATGTTACAGTTGACTGAACAGTGAATATCTGATGTTGTAATTGCTGGAATGTAGGAGTTAATGTAGGAGTTATGTTAATTTTGTATCAGATGCTTCGAAATGTAATTTGAACTAAAGTAATGATAATGTGAGAGATTGGTAAGAAATGAAATGATTTGGTATATAGTCAACTTTCTAAATTGTTTACAAATTCATAGTCAACACTATAAATTATGTCCAAATTCAACATGAAATACTCTAAATTGTTCACAAATTCAATAAAATTAACTGATGCATGTCAATCTTCTCCATGGGTTTTTTAATCTCATGTGGGTGCAAAATTCTCATTTTCACAATTCTGACCAAAATTGGTCAAAATATGCCAGTTTTAATGATTTTTTTCATTTTCAAGTGGGTGCAAATGGATTTCCAAGTGGGTGCTAGCCTATTATCAAAATCTCAGGTGGGTGCTGTGCCAACTTGCTTTGGGAAATCACTGCAGTATTATAATGAAATTCTTCATTCATCTTTTTCTTGTTATTTTTACTTGATGTATCATGTTCTTATATGATACTTTACAGATAAACACGATCCTTCACTGTAAACATTGTATTCACAATCATGTATCTTTTGAAGTTTACTTCCCATTTGATGGTTCATGTTTAATGTAATGTATTTCTCTTGTATTTGTAGATCAAGGGCTGTCCTTTGATGATGGAGAAATAAATCGATGAAGTGATCTGATATATTTAGAAATTGTATAAAGAAATCTGGGAAGCCGTGCTGTGTCTTAATAAAAGTAATGTTTCTTAAAGTTTAAAGATCAAATAATACTGGGTGAATATAACATTTTGAACCGAATATTCCTATAGGCCTAACATTCAAAATTGTGTTTGATATTTATGTGCAAATCAGAAGATCTGCCTCAAGGAAAGTGCTGTTTACATTTTAATTTTTAGAATCAATTTTATTTATTTCCACTATAAATTAGTCTAGCTACAAGCCACTGTGACCCCCCCCCCATTCTACTTGACTAAACACCTCCCATAGAGTCCTTGTTGGCAAGTGCTTGGAGCTAGACTTAGTGTTAATGTACTTTGTCTTACACCCCCAAAATGCAATCTGATTTTTGACGCCGTTTCGGTGCCAAATGTCAGTGCCATTTCGGCATCAAATAGACTGACTAGTCCTGTGGCAAATTTTGGTGTGGAAAGGTTTCGGTGCCGGAACGGTGTCGAACCGGTGCCGGAACAGTGCCGAATTTTTTCAATGCCGAAACGGCGCCAAATTATATTGGCTGTGTGATTGAAACAAAAATCAGTGTTTCAAATTTTCAGAATTATGAACGATGAACAAAAAGTGTTGCTAGTTTTATATTAAGGTATCCCAATTCGAATTAGACTGAACCTTTGTAGTTTGTATATATAATATGAGATATGTAAAATTTTACTCATCTTGGCTTACCTTAACAACCAACGAATTGTATTAAAAATAGTATATCTTAATTTTTAAGGAGTGGAGAAGTAAACACAATTTTGGACGCTGTTGATAACAGAGGAGGACTATCAATTGAGACTGTTACGACCCTCAAAGACGGGTGCTGCCTCAAAATTCGGTGTGATTACGGGCACTATGGGTGCTGGCTTTGGATCAGGGATGTATAGACGGACTAGCATACACAGACTGCTTTTATACGGGCTTATAATATTTCTGATTGGTTTTCTGTTTTATAGCCAATACCTACCTTGTGATACAGCTCCCAAAACTGTCATGGTTTCTAATGATCAACATCTATTACGGGATAGTGAAAATAGGGCGTATCCATATAATAAAAATATGCCGTTGATTTTCATTGGGGGAATGCCCCGTAGTGGGACTACTTTAATGCGTGCAATGTTAGATGCTCACCCTGAAGTGCGATGCGGGGAGGAAACCCGAGTGATCCCGAGGTTATTAGGTATGAAATACCAATGGGGGAGATCCCCGAAGGAGTCAACGAGACTCAAGGAGGCTGGGATAACGGATAAGGTCATTGATGATGCCCTGAGTGCATTTATACTCGAGGTGATTGCAAAGCATGGTGATCCAGCTCCTAGGCTTTGTAATAAGGACCCATTCACGCTCAAATCAATGGTGTATCTATCAGGACTATTTCCAAACTCAAAATACCTGTTTATGATACGAGATGGCAGGGCTACAGTGCATTCAATTATCTCCCGGAAAGTGACGATTTCCGGGTTTAACCTCAAGGACTATCGTAGCTGTCTTCAAAAATGGAACCAAGCTGTAGATAACATGTATAAGCAATGTCTACAGGTTGGGCCCTCAAAATGTATGATGGTGTTTTACGAACAACTGGTGCTTCAGCCTAACAAATGGGCCAAAGATATCCTTCAGTTCCTTGACATTCCATGGCATGATTCAGTTATTCACCATGAACAGTATATAGGAAAACCTGGAGGGGTATCTCTATCAAAGTAAGTCTAGTTTTCTCAGTACAGGGTGACCAAATATGCAATCCCCTAATTTTGGGCTAAGTTTCTGAAACTTTATCAAAGTAAGTCTCAATGTGTACAGGGTGACCAAAAATGTAATTTTCTAATTTTGGGCTAAGTTTCTGAATTTCTATCAAAGTAAGTCTCAATGTGTACAGGGTGACCAAAAATGTAATTTTCTAATTTTGGGCTAAGTTTCTGAATTTCTATCAAAGTAAGTCTCAACTGCTCAATGTTGTTTAAAAATCAAGTTTTCTCAAAGTACAGGGTGACCAAAAATGTAGCCCTCTAATATTTGGCTAAGTTTCTGATTCTCTATCAAAGAGTAATTCCAAAAATAGGTTTAATTTTTTGGGTCACCCTGTAATTTGGAAAGATATAAGACTGCTCCCCTCTCCATTCAGCTGATGAACATTAAAATGAATTTTTGCGTACGATTAACCATCATTCAATTTCTCTGTCATGAGGTCATGAGATTTAGACAAATAAACTCCTTGCTTTAATTCATTTGGAAATATGCTTGTATTTTTGTTTTTTTATTCATTTTTTGTGTCATATATTTCAGGACAGAGAGGTCTACAGATCAGGTAATCAAACCAGTGAACCTGGATGCCTTGACCAAATGGGTCGACTTTATCCCAGAAGATGTAAGAAGAGACACTAGAATGATTGCACCAATGCTAGAACGTTTAGGATACGACGTGGACCATTTCCCGCCAGTTTACGGGGAGGCGGAAAAACAAGTTCTAGATAATACTAATTCCATTAAAGAAAAAGCTGAATATTGGCATAAAAAAGAAGAATTGGTAAGGAATAATTATACCTTCGCAAACCCGAAATCAGGGATTCATCGAAGGCCTGGGGTAGGAGCTAGACAAATAAATTAGGATCAAAGGGAGAGGAGGGGGGTAGTTTCTTCTGGGGGCTTCTTTTAATGAGTTAAACACGCTCTGAGAGTTACCAGTTTGTGTGTTTACAAAGGCGAAAAAAACAAGTTCTTAGTGTGTTAACAAAGACCGAAAAAAGTTCTTTGTGTGATCTGGAGTAAGTGAAGTGAGGAATTTAAAATTCAACTGTGAATGGTTTGGAGCCAGGAATTGCTTTTAGATAAGTGATAATACCAAGGTCCTGAATCCAATTGGAGCATCATACTCAATTATCAGTAAAATGGGATTTTCATCACCATTAATCACCGTCACCTGTGACCTGTATCCATGTGAATGTCTGCGTTCCCTATCGTGTACATCAATCATAATGGTCATGTGTTAAAATTTCCCACTGAAGAGACCTGCCTCGGAAAATTTCCCACTTCCACGAGGCCTGCCCTGTATACTGGTATATGGAAGTAAAGTGATTTCTTCACCAACAATCACCAAGTAATTGACAACTGTTGTTAAGAATCTGGATCGATGTGAATGACTTGTGTAACTTTTGTGTTCCTTGTAACATACACATATCATCCTGGTCATGTGTTAAATGGAGATTAAAAGGAAAAGGGGAATAAACCTTAGAAATAAGTTGGCAGTGAATGCCATAAAAATATGAATGCAATCATGAAACAAGTTTAAAAGTGATTCTCAGTCTTACATGTAGGAATAGGATGCCTGTATGACACTTCAGATACTGATTTTTTGAACTAACAAAGCTTAGAAACATGATTAGTGTTGCAGTGAAAACTCAAAATTACTTGTAGAAATGCTTTTTTTATAAGAATTTATTTATTCAAACTTAAAAGCAAATACATAATTTCAATCGCAAATAAAGTAGAAATGCTATAAAACATGATTTAAACTGCAGCAAACTCTTAAAATTAAATAAAAATGGCATGAAACATGATAAAGATAATGTCTGCAATTAATTAACTCAAAATTATATATTTAACCTGCACTTCTTATTTTCTCTCATAATGCCATATCTGTAAAAATTAGATAAAAACTTCAGTCAAATTGACCATTTGATCTCGGTGCCATATCTTCAAACAGCTCTTTTTCTCATCTATTTTAAATCGAATTATCACAGTGGAGGGTTAGAATTATATTTTAGATTCATGACATCAACCTCATGACATCACCTTCATGACATCAACTCATGATTTGTGATATCTGATTTATTCAGTAATTTGTCTTGTTAATGATGAGTACTGTATTTGTCTTTAATTTGACAAATTTGGCCAATTAAAAAATCGCCAAATTAAATAGGTGCCAAAATCCCTGTGATTTTGACTTTTTTTTCATTGAAAACTGTCACCTTAAATAGATGGCAATAGGACCAAAACACAAAATTGCCAATTGAAGTAGCATCAAATTAAAGACAAATACAATATAACATGGGGTCATGTGACATGTAGTCGCAGGTATGATAAAAATGAATGTTGGGAAAACAGTATTTTTGTTATCCAAGAATTTTTGATCTGGAAATTAAGGGAAGGATGTCATTAACTGTCAACTGTGTTGTGTTTTAATTGTAAATATTATTTTATGCTTGGGATATGCACTTGGAAACTTAAATGACGTTTGTGGCAACTCTCTGTTGTTTTTAATTTGAAAGTAAAAGTTTATCATGAATAGTAAAAGAATACATGTAATAAGGCCAGTCAAAGATAATTATATGTTTAAATGTACTAATGCCAAATCTTATGAGGGTCACTGGAAATCAACACATTTTTAGAAAACAAAAACATAATTGAAACTTTTAAATGAAAACAATGTTGTTTAATCATGTTTTAATATCAAGACATATGAATGCAGACATTGTAATTTCATTTGAAATTAAGATGTAATCATGCATAATACTGATATAGCAGTCGACATGTGCAATTTAGTATTTTATATTTAGCTAGATAGTGTGTACAAATGAAGATAAATGTGAGGGTATTAACCCCTTATAAGACCCCATGGTCTTAAAGCTGGATGGATGGCCTAAGGGGTCAGGTCTATATTTCAATGTTTTACAGAAAAGTAATTTCTAGGTAAGCATTGATATATTGACCTTATTTCTTATTATAAATGGAAATCTCTGATATCAAAATAGGGATTATATTGTACTATTCCAGATTGTGTATTGTAAACTTACTTTGTTGCCAGTTAAGCCTATTGTATACTGTATTCTATTATTTTGTATTGACTTCTTCGGGGTAATTCTGGACTCATCCACCCACCACTGTTAACTGTTTTTTTGTTCAATAAAAGCCAATAGTGTGTTTGAGAAAGTACTTTAGAATTGATCTCTCCATTAAATTTTAGAAGTAGATATTTAGAAATAAGTTGTACATCTTTTTTTTTTGAAGTACGTATTGTTTATTTATCCTGTTTCTTTGAATCATTTATGTAAAAACTGTTCCTTTAATTGATAAATTGAATTTTAAAATTGTGCATATTGCTTATAGGAACAGTTTCTTTTTAATGATTAATTGTACATTGGATAATAGAAAAAGTTCCAATCATTGGACACAATATAGCTACTTGATGATCAAACTTCCTTCATACTTTATTTGTTGTATATAATGGAGAAAGTAAAGCTACCCATTGGCTTTCAAGAGAAAGCTTATGCTAAAACCATTGACTTTTTAGAGAAAGCTTATGCTAATTCCATTGGCTTTTTAGAGAAAGTTTATGCTAAAACCATGGGCTTTTTAGAGAAAGCTTATGCTAAAACCATGGGCTTTTAAGAGAAAGCTTATGCTAAAACCATTGGCTTTTTAGAGAAAGCTTATGCTAATACCATTGGCTTTTTAGAGAAAGCTTATGCTAATACCATTGGCTTTTTAGAGAAAGCTTATGCTAAAACCATGGGCTTTTTAGAGAAAGCTTATGCTAAAACCATGGGCATTTTAGAGAAAGCTTATGCCAGCTAAAACTACAACAATACGTATACCAGAATTCCAATTATTGAGAATTCTATGAACATTGCACAAAATTAACAAGTCACATGAATACACTTGATACATCTATTTTATGTATTAGAGAATACAAAAACAGTATATAATGGTATTTTCTCTGTAGAGAAAAATAGATGTCACCTCCTGTCTGTACTATATGGTGTTCAGGATATCCAAGAGATGCCACAACATCTGAATCATGTCTTGTCTTGTAATACATGACAATAAAAATACAGGGTGGTACATCGTAAATTTATTTTTGAAATTGATTAAAAATGAATAAAACTATGATGATTATATTAATCAGAGGGTAATAACGAGAAAAAACTCCTAAAGTGAAGGATTCCTGAATTATTGTTGCCATAATATAATTGATATACTGTACTTCAATTCTTACTATGATGTCATTAAGTTAATAATTCTTAGATCAATTGTTGTGACCATGTAAATTATGTCATTGTTAGAGACAATATATTGATTTAAGATTTTTCAACTTTACAAAGTTTCTGGCAATTACCTTACTCCCTTAATTCATATAATTGCACCCTCAAATTATGGAAATGTCAAAAAATCAGATGGATAGATAGATGTATAAAAATGACAGAAATTCCTGCAGCTCATTGGTCTCGCTACAAGCCCCTGTGACCCCCCTCCTTCTACTTGACTAGAACCTTCTCACTGGGGGGGTCACAGGGGCTTGTAGCTAGACGAGAAGTTCATTTAATTTTTTTAAATTTTAAAGTGAATAGAACGACCACTGTGTGAATGAGGAATCATGTTGAAATGCAGTAATGTTAGAAAAATGACAATTTAGTCATTTTGAGCATTGCATCGGACTGAATATTGCCACAAATGTAAAGTTGGTTTAAGTACTGCAATAATAATGTCAAAAGAGGAAATATGGTGGAAATGTGTGAATTAAAAGAATTGTTACAATTTTACGCAAGTGCAATGTATGACAATAGGCCTAGTGAATTAAGAGTTTTGTCTACATTGTTTGTTTAATTTTCTCCTTGCTATAAATTCACCTCTTCACTCGACTTTTGTTGTCTTTTTGTCTTCTTAAGTGTTACTTACTATACTACAGACACAATTGTCTCAAAGAAATTTGTAAAGAAATATGTGCCATGTGAATTAAAGAATAAACTTATTACAGTGAACAGTATTCCTCTCTTATGTCATTATTTGAACTCAATTTATGCATTGTCTATTAGGTTTTTCAGCAGGACATTGGAGATGTCCCATTATAGTGTGAATTATACATTTATGCATATATTTCGTTCAGTGTAACCTAATCCGGGTATTTACAATGAACATGTCTGCAATCCAATTCATTAGTTTCTGTTTGTCAATTATTGGCCACATAATAACAGAAATTAACACCATACATGCATGCACTTCGTTCGGTGTAAAGTCATCCGGGTATTTACAATAAATATGTCTGCAATCCACTTTATCATGATCATGTTTTGTCAATAATTGATATAACATAAAATAAAAAAACTGAACTAAAAAACTAAACATATAGAAACACCAACGAACACATTTTAGTCCGACAGCATTTGTCTACTTGAACATAACACAAATATATTTATTTCAATAATTCACTTATTTAATACTAGTAATAATAATATTTTTCAAAATAATGTACTGTAAAAAATAAACAATTACAAATAAATGATTTCCATACTAGGCTATACAAATAAAATGTAGTAAAATACTTGAATAAATCATCTAAAATGTTTACGTTACGAAACATAACTTCTTCATTTATAGTAGATACGATCATTACAAAACATTTACTTGATTATGTAGATGACAATAGAAATTATCTAGTATTAGAGAGATTTCGCTCATAAGTGAAAGCACAACTTATGTTTATGCGTATAACTACATATACGTTATAAGTATAAGTGGATTGAAAGTTGGCATTTCTCAAGGTTGTACTTATACTTATGGAAATGAATATTTTATCGATCAATGTTCTGGGGTCCACGCATTATACAGAAACCCATTATACCGACGCGCATTGTACCGAAAGGCGTTATACCGAATGCCATAATCACTGTTCCACAACTAGTTACTTTGACGGAACGTCAATGTAACAAAATGGATGAATTTAAAGATGTTCCATGCGTTTTATTTTCATGATTCAAGTACTACTATGAGGGGCATAGTAATAAAAAATTATCATCTAAAATGTCGTTAAATACAAAAATGAAATTGGTTCGTCTTATAACCGAGAAATCAAGCATTGTGTATTCTACTTTAAAAACACGATTTTACAAACCAAAGGTTTGCGTGCATTTATTCATCATGGTAAAGCATGGCTAGCCACACGTTAAGCACACCATTGGAAAGTTATTTTTGCGATTTTATATATCATAATGATATTTACCAGAACAAAATAGAGAATTAAACTTTAGACTGTTAATGATACACCCTGAAAGGATGTGGTACGTCCCCGCTCAACGCATTCCCCAAAAAGTTTGATTCTGTAGAATTGACCCTTTCCATATAAATAGAAAAATAGATGGCATCATGGGTATAGGTAGGGCTAAATAACATGACAAGAGTCACTTAATTTCTTGATTTAACAAGTAATTCCATTTGAATCAACTTAAAACACCATTAGAATGTAACTATATGATATTATTGACATATGAATTGTGATTTCACATTAAAATTGTGATCCTTGTAAGGGTAAATGAACTTTTGAAGGTTTTTCAACCTTGTGTCAATGGGGATTTAGCCTGACCATTTTTAGAAAACTTAAAAATCTCTAAAATTTGAATAAAGGTAAATAAGAATGCAAAAACTAAGTTGTTTTGATAGAAAATTACACACAGAATTCAAATAGACGAAAATGTTAGTCTTTAGTGGTTAAAAATGCAGATCTCCTAAAATCTTGCGAGACCTTAACGAGATTTCAAAGCTATATGGAAAAGCCACTATTAGATAGATGCCTTCACTAGGCTATTCTCTGTACTTGTGTCCGTGCCTCATTCTCGGGGGGTTCACTGTGTACAAAATTTGGCGGGGGTCCTAGGCTGAACCCTCAGATATCAATATATTCCCATACCAAAATGTCAAATTTGGATGCGTTCCCATACCAACCGATATAGTGCCCAAAAGCCATACCAAATGCCCAAATATGAAACCAATGCCATATCAAATGTCAAAATATAGGACCAATGCCATACCAATGACATGACTGGTCCAAAGTAGAATATTTCCCAGGAAAAAAGCTATTTATTTCAACTGAAGAAGGTCCCAGGAAGAAGGCGATCTTTGAGGAAATGAACCAAAACAACCTCATATTAGGATATGTGTAACTACTAGACCAATTCCATACCATAATTGTGAGATAACATATTTTCCATGACCATTCTCATACAAGAAAGTTGAAAAATCTCCATTTCCATCCCCCAAAAGTCATAATGAGGGGGCATTCTCATACCACATCCTAACATTTGGGTCCATTGCCATACCAAATGTCAAAAAAGGTACCCCATGTGGGCAGAGGATCCCCGTCAAGGTTTATATACAGTGAACCCCCCCCCCGGGCCTCATTTTGAGTAGCGAGTGTAAATTATTTTCGGAAACATGATTATGTTTTCCCTGTAATATGAATTGGAGATATCTGACAAAATATGGATAGCCTAAAATCTAAATTTTGTGTTTTTGAACATGCGGAAATATCTTGAACACTTGAAATACAGTTCCTTAATAGGTCGTTCAGTTTTCTTGTTTTTGTTCTACACAACACTTGTGTTTAATAGCCACGCGTAATTATTAATAAGCATAATCAGATTATTTCAAGCGTCGAAATATAGTGGGCTGTATAGCAAGGTTGGTCGGGGTCGGGAGCTGGGGATAATTTTATTGTTTAAATATAACAATATAATCATCCTACATTAGAATCCACTCAGTCTAACATCAATTTCTGGTGCGAAAGTTGTCATTTTTGAGTTTTACCCCCCTTGAAGACAAATTCTTGGGGGTACTATGACAAATGCTTATAACTAAAGAAGTATTTATTTGATCATCTTCATTTTTGGCATGGGTAATAAACAGGTATGTAAAAGTAGAATTTGAAAAATTCATACAAATCGGGTGATTAGTCTATTCTAAAGATAATAATTCAGGTATTTTCAAGGGTCAATTTCAACATTTTCTGAATGTCGACATGAAGTGAAAATAACATTATGACCCAATGACATATTTATTGAATGTTTTTAGGCTTTAGAAAATAATTTGACTATATAAGCTAAAATAATAACATAAGAATTGTGGCATATTGATAATTCTTCATCGCCATTCAGGCACAAATAAACCCCACCCCCTCCCAATTTTCGAATATAAAGGTCTATACCTGAAACTTCCTCAAATAGCTATATTTCAGAAACTATTACAGCCTACATTCCAAAATTTCTCATGGTGATTATACACATCATACTCTGCATAATAGGCATATAATTGAGATTTATCCATTCTATAGTTAATAATTAAGGTATTTTCAAGGTTCAATTTCAGCATTTTCGGAATGTCACCATGAAGTAAAAATTACATGACCCAATGACATATTTATTAAATGTTTTTAGGGTTTAGAAAATGATTTGACTATATAAGCTAAGATAACAACATAAGAATTGTACGATATTGATAATTCTTCATCGCCATTCAGGGATAAATACCCCCCCCCCCCATTTGCGAAAATAAACGTTTTTACCTGGAACTTTCTCAAATAGCTATATTTCAGAAACTATTACAGCCTCCATTCCAAAATTTCTCTTGTTGATTATAAACATCATACTCTGCATATTATACATATAATTGAAGTCTTAACACTTTTTTGAGGGTGTACCTAATAATAATAGTATATTTATTAGACATCTGGAAGGTTGTCACAACACTACAAGAGAGATATTTTGGATTGTCATCATTTTTAAGAATATTTCAAAAACATATTTATA